AGAGAGAGAGAGAGAGAGAGAGAGAGAGAGAGAGAGGGAGAGAGAGATTGCGGGTGGGGACAAGGGGGCGGCTCACACGCGGGTCCGTCTACTGCCCGACCCGGACCCGGCGCTGCATACGGCCTGAGTAAATGGCAGAGCTCCGTCTCTGTCGCCCCGCGGCAGACACGGTAGTTCCACATGAAGTAGTTCTGAGAATAGCTGGGACTTATTGATGCCCACGCGCCCCGTAAACACAGGGCTTGGCGAGGTTGTTTCTCAGAACGCCAGGGGTGTTCGCTGTTTGAGCTGCTGTGATGTGATGGAGCACCGCGAGCGCGAGGTACAGAGCGGGACCGGTGGCGGTGGGCGGGCAGAGCCCCCGGGCGGGCAGGCAACAGGGCAGCTCCCCGGGCCACCGGGTGGCCTACCCTCGCGCGTGCAGGCGGCGGGCAGCAGCAGCGCAGCGATGCGTGAGTAAGAAAAAAGTTGAGGAAAGAGTTAAGAAAAGAGTTGAAGAGAGAGTCGAGGAGAGAGGAGTAGTGGAGAGAGTAGGGGAGAGAGTTGAGGAGAGAGGAGTAAGAAACAGGTGAAGGGTTAGAGATGGAGAGATAGTGATAGAGAGTAAAATAGGTAGTTAGAGTTAACTCTCTAATAAAGAGAGAATTTAGACAGACAGAGGAAGTGTCTGAGCGACACAGAAAGACTAAGAGAGTTAGAGAGACAGACAGAAAGAGCTAGAGAGAGGGAAGGAGGGAGTGTCTGCCCCGTTGGAGATCACCCGGCCCAGTGGGGCAGGGGGCAGGACCGCCACTACCAGGGCGAGGAGGTGGCCGGCCCGGGCGGGCACCAGGTGCGGTCGGGCGGAACTGCCAAGTGGATTGGAAAGAACTCTCCCTATCTACCCTTCTTGTACGGCCCAGCAAGGGCGGAGGGGTGTTGAGAGGGGTTGGGGGAGGGTGGAAGACGAGTAAAGGTGGTGGGGGTGTAGCTAAGTACAGCGTGAAACACAACAACCCCTGCCGCCCCCACCCTTCCTCCAACGCATAGACGGGTGAACTGCGTAAACCATTTAGCAAAGCCGCTGGCCCGATCGGTACCTAACTTGGTCTAGTCATTGCACTCGCGAAATAATAAAATTATAATCATTCCTAATCATTTCCAATCTTTACAGTCTGTTCCAGTCTGTCTACGGTCGCTCCAATCTTTACAATCACCTCCAGTAATCTCTGATTATCTCCGGTGGTGGCCCTGCCGTGTACGATCAGCGCGCGCTAGGAATATCACAAATAAGAGCCCCGGTCGGTAGGTCAAGGTCACCACGACGTCGTTGTAAGAGCGGAGTGCACCGACACCACACGAGGCCTTTCTCCAACCGCATGTGTGTTACTCTGTTATGACTTTTTATCGGACAGGGGGCATGTATGCTGCTAGCACGTGCGGGATAGAGTACCGGTGCAACGACCTCGTGGTGACCTTGACCTACCGGCCTAGAACTCGCACTATAACATTTACCCTACTCTCGGCCCTACTCCTCTAACACGCACACACGCGGGTGCGCGCGCGCACACACACAAACACACACACACACACACACACACAGGTCGCAATACCTCCTAGCCGTTGTTGGTAGGGGTGCAGGAAGGTGAGGGATAATTGGTCCGACAACACAGCACCGAGCGCCCCGCCCCGCCCCGCCTCCTTCCGGCCAGCGGGGCGCAG